CGACGACACCGCGACGGGACCGCGACGATGGATGGGGATGAATGACGATGGCGCGCGCGCGCGATCGCATCGTCGTCTCGCGCGTCGTGGGCGCGGCGTCTCGAATGGGTGGTCGGGACGGGAAGGGTGTAAAGACGCGCGCGTGGACGATCGGTGGTGACGGTGGGGGGTGGGGGCGAGCGGGGGGGCGCGCGCGGGGGAGATCTCGCGCGGCGCGCGCGGCGGCGCGATCGAGCGGCGAGACGCGCGCGCGCGGATGATCGGCGTGGACGATCGCGGTGGGCGGACGTGGACGGTGAAGACTGACGAGTGTTGCATCGCGCGCGCGTGTCGCAGAGAAAGTGAGTGAGATCATGGCGGACGAAGGTGAAGTCTCCGCGCTCGTGTGCGATAACGGCTCCGGGATGGTCAAAGCCGGCTTCGCGGGCGACGACGCCCCGAAGGCGGTGTTTCCGTCCATCGTCGGGCGACCGCGACACCACGGTGTGATGGTGGGCATGGGTCAGAAGGATTGCTACGTCGGCGATGAGGCGCAGAGCAAGCGCGGGATCCTCACGCTCAAGTACCCGCTCGAGCACGGCATCGTCACCAACTGGGACGACATGGAGAAGATCTGGCACCACACGTTTTACAACGAACTTCGCGTCGACCCGGCCGAGCACCCGGTCCTCTTGACCGAGGCGCCGATGAATCCAAAGGCTAACCGCGAGAAGATGTGCCAAATCATGTTTGAGACGTTCAACGTTCCGGCGATGTACGTGTCCATCCAAGCCGTCTTGTCGCTCTACGCCTCGGGCCGTACGACCGGTATCGTACTCGATTGCGGCGACGGCGTCTCGCACACCGTGCCCATTTACGAAGGTTACGCGCTTCCGCACGCGATCCTTCGTCTCGACCTCGCCGGTCGCGACTTGACGGATTACATGGTGAAGATCTTGACCGAGCGCGGACACTCGTTCACGACGTCGGCGGAACGCGAAATCGTTCGCGATATCAAGGAGAAGCTCGCGTACGTCGCGCTTGATTTCGAGGAGGAAATGGCCACGAGCCAAAGCTCGTCATCCATCGAAAAGTCTTACGAGCTTCCGGATGGACAAATGATCACCATCGGCAGCGAGCGTTTCCGCTGTCCCGAGGTGCTCTTCCAACCGAGCCTCATCGGCATGGAAAACCCGGGCATCCACGAGACGACGTACAACTCCATCATGCGATGCGATGTCGACATCAGACGCGATCTGTACGCCAACATCGTCTTGTCCGGCGGTACCACCATGTTCCCGGGTATCGCCGACCGCATCTCCAAGGAGCTCACCGCTCTCGCGCCGTCGTCTATGAAGATCAAGGTTGTCGCGCCGCACGAGCGCAAGTACTCCGTGTGGATCGGTGGCTCCATCCTCGCTTCCCTGTCCACGTTCCAACAAATGTGGATCGCGAAGAGTGAGTACAACGAAGCTGGCCCGTCCATCGTGCACAGAAAGTGCTTCTAGGTACTTCTGATGTAATCTCACGCCTTCACTAGAAGAGACATTCGCGACGCGCGCTTCATCCGCGTAACATCGTGTGTTTGGCGGCGAAAAAGTATGTTCGTTTTACACGATGAAGGATAATCTAGAGAAATCAATGAATACGAACCTCACATGTCTTCCGTGAGTTCGATCAGCTCGTCCATCGTGATGGTTTGCTCGTCGCCCGCGAAGTCGTTGTCGTCCGTCAAGAAAAGCATGCAGTGACATTCCTTACGCTCGCGCATCGGCACGCACGGGCAGTTCCAGAACCCTTGCGCGACTTCAGCCTCTTTATCGTCGTAGTGCCTGCACGGGCACAGCGGCGAGCCGAGCGTATCCTTGTGTTCCGCCAAGCCTTGAATCACGACGGCGGTCACGCTCTTATCCATGCAAAAATACGTCCCACTCCCACGCGCGTATTGCTCAGAGAACTTTCGCATCACCTCGAGATTCTTCGAGCTCGCCTCTGTGCACTCGTTCGAACGCGCGCGCGGTCAGTCTCCGCGCAGCGCGGGTCGCTCCACCCCCCTCGTCCCTCGTCGCGACGCGCCTCCGCCCCTTCGTCCCGTCCGCGCGCGCCGTCGCGAGACCCCCCTCCGAGCATCTCGCCCTCGTCCCCACGCGCGCGCCAACGCTGACACCACCCCGACGTTCCCGATCGTCCACACGCGCGAGCGATCCCGTGGCGTCCCGTCGCCCGTCGCCCGATCGCCGCGCCCGATGCCGCGCACATCGCCCTCGCCCCACGCGCGCGCGTCCCGCGTCGACGTCACGCGACCCCGCACCCGCTCGCGCCTCGACGCATCGCGCGCGCCTCGACGTCGTTCGCGTCGACCTCGCGCGCACGCGCGCGGTCGATCGCGTCGACACCGAACGCATCGCGCCGTCGTGTGACGTCGACGCGCGCGCCGAACGCCCACGCGCTGGTTTCACCGTCGTCGCGTGGATGGATGTTGACTCATCATCGCCGTCGTGGGATGATGACTCATCGCCGTCTGTTGCCTCATCATCGCCGTCGTGGGATGTTGACTCATCGCCGTCGTCGTTGTGTACACCTCTTGTTGAGTCATAATCGGTCACGTCATGTATGGGTAAACAGTATGAGAGGGGTACTCCCATGGGTGTTTTAGGCCGAGGGGGAGAGAGCCGGTGATGACGACATTTTGGTGGCGTCACGTAAAAAAAACGAAATTGCACCACGGGGGAGATAGAATTTCGCTCAAAATTTCACTTCAAATTTCACTTTTCCCGATTTCGCGAGGCGAAAGCCTATCCGGACAGAATGACCGAAACGAAAATCAAAGTGAAATTATCGTTTCACAATCTATCTCCCCGTTGGCCGTACCGCGTACACATTTCGGCACGTTTTCGCAACACGCGACGCGCGTGCGCGGATACCGCGCCGACGAGGCGGGGAGGACGTGCGCTGGGAGTCCCGTTCTGATTCGTGACCCGTGAGCACTTTTTATGTTTTTCACGAGAGGTACCGGTGCGACGGGGGTGAAAATCGCGATCGGAGACTGGTCGCCCACGCGTCGACCGACACGCGTCGCGCGCGACGACGGCGCGCGCGCACGACGGCGCGCTGGCGAAACGTACACAATGCGCGCGTTCGCGCCGTGGCTCGTTCGTCGCGACGCTTGGACGTCGCGCGGATCCGACGTTTGTACAGACCCGTGTGCCCGCCGACGCGTCTCACGTGTACGACGCACACGTCGCGTCCGCGTGACCGCCACGGCGATGGCGGGTGTGGGACGCGACGTGCTTGTGGCTCGGCGCGCGCGGTGGCGTGGCGTCCGCGCGATGGCGGGAGACGGCGACGCGCGCGCGACGCGACGGGCGAGCGACGGCGACGCGGACGACGTGGACGATGACGACGACGCGACGACGTGAGGCGGCGACGCGGGCGCGGGCGATGCGGGCGATGAGAGCGGGGGTGGCGCGAGGGATGATTGACAAACGCGGCACCGCGACGGCGGCGATGAATGGGCGCGACGCGGTGGACGCGGCGGCGACGGCGGCGACGGCGGCGACGGCGACGCGAGGTGAAATTGCACTCGAGGAGGAATCTGCACGCGCGCGCGACGACGCGGTGGCGGCGACGACGGCGACGGTGGAGAAGATCACGACCACGGCGTCCGAGAGCGACGCGCGCGCGCGCGCGGTCGAGGACGACGGCGACGGCGACGAGATGGATGAGGACGCGATGGTGAGCGAGGAGAACTCGCCCTTGGACGCTGGCGCGTGCGAGGATTCGATTTCTCAACCGGAGTGGTCGCCCGAGAGCGATGCGTCGGAGAGTTGAGAGTTCTCGTCGGTGCTCGGTTCGCTCGGACGCGCGCGCGCCGATCGCCGAGAGGCGACGCGCGCGCGCGCGCCGATCGCGCGCTCGAATGATGCGAATAATCGTGAAATGAGTCGTTAAATCGTTGACGCGTGCCGTCTGCGAGATGTTGTTGTGATACGTATCGGTGAAATCTATTAAATCGGGGTCGCGATAATTAAACCAACCAAACGCTCGCGAATCGATCGCTCACTCTAAGACGCACTTGGCGCCCACCGCGGTGAGCTTGGCGATCAACTCCTCGGCCTCCTCCTTCTTCAGATCCTTCTTCAACACGGCTGGCACACCTTCCACGAGTTCCTTCGCCTCCTTGAGCCCGAGTTCGGTGATACCGCGAACTTCCTTGATCACCTTGATCTTTTGCGCCGCGTCAAACGATTCGAGCTTGAGCGCAAACGACGTCTTCTCCTCGACCGGTGCCGCCGCCGCCGCGCCGCCGCCGCCGCCACCACCGACGGCACCACCACCACCACCCATCGGCATCATCCCACCGCCGAACATCATCCCACTCATGTCACCCAAACCGAGTCTCTCCGCCAAGACGTCGCACAGCTCGTTCACCTCCAACAGAGTGAGCTCGCACACTTGATCCGCGATCGCCGACACCTTGGCGCTCGCCTGAGGTTTAATCTTCGCATCGAGATCCACCACGACGTCGTCATCTTTCGCGTTCTTCGCCTCGTCCTCGGCGCTCGAAGCGAACGTCCGCTTCGCGCTTCCGACGCGCGCGTCGCGCCCCGCCCTAGCGTCGCCCCGGACGCTTCGCTCCTTCCCTCGCGCTCCTTCGCTCGCGATGTCTCTCGCGTGCGATCGAGCGCGCGCGTTCGTCGTGATGCCCTGCACCGCCACTCGCTCACACGTCAACGCCGAGGACGCCGAGGACGCGATCGCGCGTTTGGTCGATCGCGCCGACAGTCTCGCGAGCATGAGTGCGTTCTCGCGTCTACGAAACGATCGCCGCGCGCTCGACGTCGACGCGCTCGGCGGAAGACACCGTCGGTGTTCACTCTCGCGTGCGCACCGAGCGGGACGCGCGCGTCGGGACGTGCGGACGCGAGCGCGGGGTGGTTTTGATTTTCACCGCAATTGGAATTTCAAAGGGTTTGCGACGCGCGATTGGCCTCCGTCGAACGCGCGAGACTCACCGCGCGGCGGATGGGTTCCGAGAGAGACGACTCTTTAAGCGACCGAACGTACCGGAGACGACACCGGTTGGTTTCTGCGCGCGTACGTTCGCGACGTTTGCGTTCGAAGAAGCGATCGAAGTCGAGGCGGCGGACCAACCGCCGTCGCGAAGCATGGTCTCCGCCTGCGCGCGGCGAGCCTGATCGAGCGCCTCGGCGTTGAGCAGAGACTCCAGAGCGGGCGCGAGGTGAGGGAACAGATCGCCGTCGGTGCCGAGCATAAGTCGAGCGGCGTCGAAAAGGGCGAGCGCGAGCGCGGGCTCGACCGCCGGAAGGTTCGAGATGGCAGATATCGCCCCCGCGGCTGACGCGGAGAAGCTCGTTCCGGGCACCTCGGCGCCGCGCGCGAGCGCCTGGACGCACGCCACGCGGACGTTCGCGGACGGATCTGAAACCAGAGCCTCGAGCTGACGCATCGTTTGCATCGTCGGTTCGAACGTCTCGTAGTGCGCGCACGCGACGGCGGCGAGCGCGAGCGCGGCCTCGGCTCGAACGCCCTCGTCCGGATCGCTCCGCAGCGCGTTGAGCATTGGATACACATCCGCGAGAACTTGCTCAAGGTGTAAGATTTCGGACGTCGCGGCGACAAGTCGCGCGGTGATCACTCGCACATTGGGTGTGTTATCCGCGATCGGATACGAGCACTCCTTGAGCGCCCCGATCAGGCTCGATGTGTGACGTTCAAACGCAGCGAGAAGCCGAGTGGCGTCGATGATTTCGTCCGCCGCCGCGGATTCTGTTTGACGAATCAATCTCTTGAGATAATCTCCGAGCACGGTGTCGCCGCTGGGCGTGTACGGAACCACGCCAGCGAGTAAGATCGGGAGAACGGCGCTCCGCTGGTCGTGACTGACGCCGCACGCGTCGTTCAGCTTGCCAAGAAACGTCCGTCGAGTCGCCGCGGGACCGAGCACGCCGCACCAAGCCGCGACGGCGGTGCAGATGCACTCTCTCACGGACTCCTGACCCACGACGTCGCGAGCGGTGGAGCTAATTACTTCTGTGATCATGTCCGACGCATCGTTGACGCACCACTTGGCCAACGTCCACGAGTCAGGTATGTCTTTGCTAAGAGCGACGCTCACGTCGTCCTCGACGGACGACGGTTTCGACGCGCCAAGCGCGTCACTTATCGATGGACAAAACGACTCGAACGTCTTCATCATGCTCGTAGCGCACCAACGGTGCCTATCACCATCCTCCGGCGATAGCCATCCCGAAAAGACGCGGTCATGACCCTCGCCCGTCCATCCACTGCGCAAGGCGTCGCGAGCCTGTTCTAGTACCTTTCGAGCCAGCTGCATGAAATGCTGCGGATTTGATCGCAGGTAACAGCGCGCAACAGCCGGCGCGAGCGTCAAGCGCGCGACCTCTGAGACGTCGTCGGATTCATCACGCACAAGTGCGATGAATAATGTGTCGATCGTCTCCATGCTCGTCTCATCGGGTGACGTCGCCAACACGAAGCGTTCGGCGGCGCGCGCGCACGCCGTTCGCATCTCATCGTTCGGATCCACGGCCGCGAACCTGAACCAATCCGTCACCAACGATGTAGAAGTGAACCACGACGAGGTGCCGATTTTTACGACGACATCCAACGCGAGCACGCGGGCCTCGCCGCTCAGCGTTGCCATCTCCTTAACGTCCAGGCACGATTGAGTGAAGATGGCTTCAAACGCCTTCATGCCCACGCGTTCACCCACGCCCGCGATCGCGATCGCGATCGCGTCTCGCTGCGAATCACTCGGACTAGCGTAAAGATCGAAGAATAAGCGAGCCGCGCGCGATGCGCGACCTTTGTCTCCAGCGGCTCTCTCGCACGCTCGCGAAATCATCGGCAACAACTCGATGCGAGCCGCTGGGGCGATTTTCGGCGCAATCTTGCCGATGAACGATACGCACGCGTCCAGCGTCTCGTTTTCTTCTATCGTTGTTCTTGGAGCGCCGTTCTCCGTGCTCGACCAATCCCCCTTCTCGGTTCTAAGTTCGGACAGAAGCCTACTGACCTCGCTCTCAGCGTGGACGGCTCTCTTTTCCCAAACCGTCGACGAGCCTCGTAACGCGCTGAGCTCATCTTGAGCGCGCGTTAGCGCCGCGGACATCGTCGCCTCGGATTCTATCGCTGAAGTACTCGTATGCTCGAGCTCCTCCAGGCGCGCTCGCGCGCGTATGAGCTCGTTCTCGACGTCCTCCGAGTGAGAGTTCGCTTGCTCCAACGCGCTCGCCGTCTGCTCCGTCATCCGCGCGCGCTCATACATCCTCCGAAGCGCCCCGAACTCGCCCCACGTCTCCTTGTCCGACATGAAATCTTTTTCATTCAGCGTTGCCGCCGTCCTGGATTCGTCTCGCATCGACAGCGCCGTCGCCTTGTACCCGCGTCTGGACAGATACTCGTACGTCGCGGCGTCCAAACGCGCGTCAATATCGCTCCCCGAAGCCCTCGATCCCGTCGACGCCCGGTCCATCCCGACCGCCGTATCCGGTCGATTACTAAAAGCATCGTCATCCTCCATCGCCTTCACCGTCGAACGCCCCTGACCGTTCGAGCCACTTCCGTCGCCGCCGCCGTCGGTCCCGTCCCGCCTCTGCGCGTCCAAATCCTCCCTCAACAATCGCAGCTCGTACTCCGCCACCGCCGCCCTGGACTCGGCTTCGATCACTCTCGATGCAGAAACCCCACTGTCAAAGGCATCGCTCACCGCTTTGAACACCTCGGGAGGGAATCGCGTTTTGTCGGCGAAGAAACTTTTTAACGTGTTCTCTGCCGCGACTGACTTTTCGAGCGCATTCGTCCTTCGAGCGTCGACGTATAACTCGTACAACGCGCACAAGTAGTTTCCATTGATGAGAAACAACACGGTGTTCAATAATTCATCCTCCTCGGACGGAGACATCGCGCGCGAGCGGGCGCAAAGTGGCGTGAAGAGGGAAAGATGAGATTGCCGCGGCGCGACGGAGGCGTCGAAGAGCGAGCGAGACGCGCGCGAACGAGCGATCGCGGTCGTTCGATCGATCGATCATCGAGAGACGACGCGTTGGCGGTACAGACGTGTTTACACTTCTACTTATTCACGGCGCTGATGTAGAGCACTGCGTCGATGGAAAGTCGTTCGCGCGTCAGTCGGCGGTCTCGTCGCGCGCCTCGGCGTCTCCGTTCGCGTCTCTCTCTTCGTCTCGCCATTCGCACCGTTGTTCCCCCGAATGAACGCGTCACCGTATTTATTCTTCAACTGTCCGTTCACGTACTCCTGCGCATCGAGCGTACACGCCATCGTCAGTCTCGTCGCGTCGCGCGCGCGCCCTACGCGTCTCGCGCGCGTCGTCGAATCCTCTCACGTCTCTCTCCCCACCCCCCTCGCGCGCGCCGAGCGTACCTCCGTCTGTTCCATCGCTATGTTCATGTACCCATCCAAGCACGCCAGCACCCCTATCGAGCGTCGCGAGCGTCTCTCGTCAGTCGATCGCATCTCGGCGCCATCGTCGGTCCGCCCTCGCCCTCGCGTCGCGCGCACGCACCCCTGTAGTCCGCCCCCGAGTTCAATCGCACGAGCACCGTTTTCCCCTCGATCGCTCGCAAGAAATCACTCGGGGAGACGCCCGAGGTCCCGGATCCGGGCGCCATCGCGGGGCGATCGACCGCGCGCGCGCGAGTGCGGTCGATCGCCCCGCGCGCATTCGCGACCCCATCACCGCGCGCGCGCGCTCGATCGCCCTCGCGCGCGTCGCACGTTTTGGACAAAATTAATTCGCACCCGACGTGTGGTCCGCGCGCGATGTTCGCGAGCGCACGCGCGCGCGCATCGCCCGAGACGCCCGGGACGTCATCGTCGAGGCGCGGATGCGGATGCGCTCGCGCGCGGACGAGACGACGCGGTGCGACGCGCGCGTCTCGCGCGGACGCGGACGAAGGGAACGATGTATTTCGCGCGATCGCGATCGAGCGCGCGGTGGAGCCGTTGGTGACGCGAACGTCCACCCTAAACGAGGGCATCGCCAAGTTTTACGACGAATCGAGCGAGCTGTGGGAACGCGTGTGGGGAAGCGACGGGGGCGACGGGACGCACATGCATCACGGATACTACCGCGCGGGCGAACCGATCGATCACGCCAAGGCGCAGGTGGACATGATCGAGGAGAGCTTGAAATTCGCGGGCGTCGAGGGGGCGAGGCGGGTGTTGGACGTCGGGTGCGGCATCGGCGGGAGCTCGAGACACATGGTGCGAAAGTGGGACGGGTGCGCGGCGGAGGGCGTGACGCTGTCGCCGGTGCAGGCGGCGCGGGCGAACGCGCTGGCGATAGAGCAAGGCGTGGAGGATCGAGCGAATTATCGCGTCGCGGACGCGCTGAATACGCCGTTCGAGGACGCGTCGTTCGATTTCGTGTGGTCCATGGAATCGGGCGAGCACATGCCGGACAAGAAGAAATTCGTCGACGAACTCGCGCGGGTGTGCGAACCCGGGGGGACGATTTTGATCGTTACCTGGTGTCATCGCGTGTTGAAAGACGGCGAGACCGAGCTCGAGGCTGGGGAGAAGATCTTGCTCGATCGCATCTGCGACGCGTACTACCTCCCGGCGTGGTGCTCCGTCGCGGATTACGAGTCGCTCGCGAAAGACGCTGGTCTGGTGGACATACGCACGGCTGATTGGAGTGAGGAGGTGAAGCCGTTCTGGAAAGGGGTCATCAAGACCGCGCTGACGCCGAGAGGGATAATCGGTCTCATCAAATCTGGCGCCGCCACCTTGCGCGGAGCGCTCGTGATGCCGCTCATGCAAACCGGCTTGGCGACGGGAACCATTAAATTTAACGTCATCGTCGCTCGAAAACCCATCTGATGCGTCATGGTGATTTAGGCTACCACTACTTGTTTTTATTGTGAGTATTTCTAGTCCTTCGGTCGCTTCCGCGTCACTTGATGCGATTCCACTCGGGCGTAGACACGGCTGAAATCCCGAGCGCGAGCGCCCCGCCCCACAGCGCGAAATCGGCCACGGCGCGTCCGGCTTCGCCGTAACCTATAGAAATGTGTCCCGTGCGCATGCTCGCGGCGACGATACCGAGGCACATCGCGAGATGGGACGAAAGGCGGTGCGCCCGCTTGACCGACGCCAAGTGCCTCGACCATCTCGTACCCAAAATTGAGTCGATACGAGCCAACATCCCGAGCGCACCGAACGAGAGGTCACCCAGCGGCAGCGCGGCGCACAGTACTACCGCAGTCGCTAAAGCGCCGACGACGCCGTGATTCGACGTGAAGTGCGCCTTGCCGCTTTTTCGCTTGTTTGCGTAAATCGCGTACGCGCCACATAACCAACATAATCCCCCGATCACGTTCAGGCCCATGTGCGTCCAAAATGCGCGTAATCGAGCGCTGCTCGGCGGGATGGTTCGCGCGTACACGCCGAGCGCCGAGGAGGTTCCACACAGCGCGATCGCGACGCTCATGAGCGTCGGGTGCCAGGCGTAGAGAGAATCGATTGGAACGAACTGACTTGCAACGGTGACGCCAAAGACGATGAAACCGATCGAGGAGGCGACGGCGAGCGCGGAGGCGTAGCGCGCGGACGCCATCGCGCTGCTCGACTGATTCAAAGGCGTCGTGAGCGAGTCTGTCGTCGCGTCGTCCATTGAGGCGTCGCCCCGGGTTTCGTCTAGTCAGGATTTGCGTACATATTACATAACTACTCATTCGTGGCGCCTCGTCGCTTACACTGCGCGCACACCCATTTACCCTTGGGAATCGTGGTCAAACCGACGCACCCGACGTGGTACCACTCGATGGGGCAATCGTCTCGGTCGCACCCGATCATCTCTCCGTACGAGACCTGCCTGCACACGCAATACTTTGGCTCGTTCGGATTCGCCACGCTCGGCGAGTCCTCGTACGAGCCGTTGGCGAAGCCATCGCCGAACCCATCGTGCCGCATCGCCCCCGATCCCTCACCGTTCGTAAAATAGTCGTTTCGTCCCCTACCCACCGGCGTCGCCGCGTCCTTTTCAAACGTCGCCAAATCTTTGTCCAAGCGCGTGATGTGTTCATCCACCAAATCGTACGCGCACTGCGCCAACCGCACCCGCTCATCCGCTAAACGCATCAACGCCACGCCGCGTTCCTTCACGATCCCCTCCGCCCGCGCGCGCGCCGTCTCCACCCCCTCCCTCGCGACGTTCCCGTCCCCCCCCGACCCGTCCTCGAGCACCGCTCGCACGGCGTCTCCGCACGCCTGCGCCAGCGCGCGCTGCGCCCGCTCGCACGCCGCGATGCGCGCGCGCGCGCTCGCCAGCGCGCGATCGACCGCGCATCCGTCCGCGTTCACGTCCCGCATCGAACGCACCGCGCGCGCGCCCCGGGGTGGCGTCGCGGCGACGGCGTTCGTCGTCATTTCGTCTTCGTCGATAGCGGACACGAGGGTGTGTGTGTGCTTCATAGATACATAGCGTGCACGTCGATAGAGTACGACCGAGGGCGTCGAATATTCGTCACGACATCACGCGCGTCGTTCCCGTCGCCACGGGACGTGTGTGTGTGTGTGTGTGTGCTTTATTATGGCGTTTCGTTCCCGTCGCCACCCCGCGACCGAGGGCGTCGATCGATCGATCGCGTCGACCTCGACGAGGCGAATATTCGACCGTCCCGGGCGTCGTCGAGACGTCGTCGGGGCGCGCGCGCGACGTCGAACGCGCGCGCGCGCGCGGTGGAGGGCGAGCGATGAAGGGGAATCTCACCCATCGACGACCGAACGCGCGCGAGGCGCCGGAGGGCGAGGCGAGCGCGACGGTGGACGGACGAGGGAAGGCGAGCGGTGGACCGTCATCGGCGAGGGCGCGAAACGCCACCGAACAGGCGGGCGTGCTGGCGATACTGACGTTCATCGCCCTGAGATTCGTGCAGCGGTACCTGAGGGCGACGTACACGACGTACTTGACCACGGAGGCGGAGATGCCGCTGGTGAGCAGACAGGAGGACTTTCTGTCGTTTAACGAATTCGCGTCGCTCAAGGCGTGCGCGCTCGAGCATCCGAAACTGCGCGTGAAGAGCGAGCTGAACTCGGCTGGGTTCTCAAAAACGCGAGGATTTGTCGTGAAGTTCAACCTGGAGGGGGTGGAAAAGTTTCGCACCAACCCGGACTACGCGTGCTTCACGCCGATTTTCGATCGTCTGCGTCTGCCGGACGCCAACGCGTTCGTGATGAATATTTTGCTCTGTCAACTCGGTGATTACGACGCGTATAACGCCGACGAACTGAGCGTTGGGATTCACCTCGATACGACCGTCGGTATTTATTCTAGGCACACGTACGCCGCGCACCAAGTCTCCGTCTTGTACAACTCGGTGCCGAGCGACATGGAGGGCGGGGAGCTGGAGGTGTACGAGTACGGCACGGGACACCCCGACGTCAGTAAAGATCCGGATGAAAAGGTTCGACCGAAGGAAAATATGATGGTCACGTTTCGCGGCGATGCGTACCATCAGGTTCGTAGTTACCGCACAAAGTCGGGCGCCGAACGCGTCTCCCTCGTGCTCGAACAGTACAAGATTGATAAAGCTGCGTACGGGAAGACGATGCGGTATCTGGAGGCGTACAAGTCGAACATGACGATGATGTAATGAGACTAGCGCTATTGCCGAACCTTTTTGTTACAACTTACAGCTTCAGGCCGTGGTGAGCCTTCTCGAACGGCACGGGTTGCAACTTCCCAGACGGATCGAGCGCCTTCGCCAGCGGTTTCGCCAGTACCTCGTAGTTGTGCCTAAGCAAGTTTGCCGGCTTGCGGAACTCACGAATCCACTCCGATGAAGTCTCAGCAATCTTCTTCGCCTCCTCTGGGTGCGACTCGACCCACGTCACGAGTGTATCGTAGTTCTTCAAGTTCTCATCTAAGGGCAAGTAGTGCACGTACGGCTTGAGCAGGTCGAAATACGAATCCTTCATTGGCGTTTCGTGATGGAACAACACACCGGGCATGGAGAGCTTGGGAAGTACGCCGCTCCAAGTCGTGCCTCCGCCTCCACCTAGATCGAGCTGATACTTGTACTTCGCGAAACCATCAAGTTCTATGTGTTTCACATCAACCAGCTCTCTGGGACCGCCGCGATGGTGCTGGCCCCAGTTGAAAAACTTTGCGTCCAGCGTTTCGGGGTGCAGCCTGCTCATTACCACAGCGCGCATCCTCGGCCCCATGGCGCCCGACTTGAGCATGGCTTCCATCGTCGCATTCACGTGATCCGGACCTCGCCGATGCGAGGCGGCGATGCGAGCAACGAACTCAGCACCGTCGTGTTTGCTGTGCGACCACGATCCAGTCAGGTAGGGATAGTCACTTCCTCGCCAGATCCCCTTCGTGATCAAATTATCCCACTCATAGTCCTCCTTATTTGGCATCGCGTCCAAATTGAACAAACCATAGTATCGACAGGCACCGCTCGTCGCCGACCCTTTCGCCGTCGCGTCGCAATTGGGCATGTTGTCCACAGTTTTCGGATACTGCAAAAAGCGGCACGTCGGCTCCATGTCTTCCGTAACAACGAAGCTTGTGTTGCCGAGCGTCTGAGACGGATTGAAGCAATCTTTCAACGTCAACAGCGTCGCTGAGTGCATTGTCGGGAAAATAGTCGGATCCTTGGGCGAACTTCCAAAGGCGAAGATGGGTTCCCACGCGTTGACGTGGCAACTTCGCCTGAACATCTTGTTGGAGCACTTCGTGTGTGGACAGTCATCCACCAAAAAGTTGACCGAAAACGGCTTCGACTTGGGCGTAATTCTCGATGGATAATATCTCGTAATAGTCTGCTCGATCAGCCTCGCCGTGGCGATCCCTCTGAAGCGGTTCGACATGGTTTTCCTCGGACTGTACTTGAACCCATCCTTTGGATTCCATTCCAGCTTGTTCAGTCCTGGTCCGAACTCTCTCTGCGTGCTCACGAGTCCGAACGCCGCGAGGACATCGCTGGCACACGCGAGCGCACCCACGAGGAGCGATGCGATCGCGAGTAGCAGCGCCGTTCGTCGTCGTCTCTGCCAGGAGTGCGCACTCATCCCGCTCGTCGTCGTCGTCGTCGTCGCTCCCTCGACGTCGACCTCACGCACGCCGGCGCCATCGGTGACGAGCAAGCGCGCGCGCTCCGTGGACATCACTCGCTCGTTCGCGAACGCGCGCGCGCGCGAACGACTGGCGCGCGCGCGGTCGTGCGCGATGGTGTTACACCGCGCGTCGAGCGGTGCGAGGGACTCATCGAGGGTCAGGACTCGACACGATTGCCCCCGGACCTACTTTTTTCCCCTCATGAAAGACATTCTTCGTATACGAAGCCAAAAATCATCGATGTGAAGCCAAGACGGCGAGCGCGTGCGACGTCCCATCCGTCCTCGCGCGCGTCGGTGACGAGGCCCGAGGCGAGGGACGGCGTCGACGTCCGCAGTCTCGCGCGTGACGGACGCGATGCACGGCTTCACCATGCGATCGAACGTATCGGTTTCGGGCGCGAAGCTCGCGGCGCCGTCGAAGCGCGTCGTCGCGCAACGCGCGGTGGCGCAGCCCACGCGCGCGGCGGCGATCGACGCCGTCACCTTCGATGGCGCCAAGCAAGCGGGCGGCGCGACGCTCGAGCTCAAGACCGCGCGCGCGGAGGTCGCGAAGGGATTGGTGCATAAATATGTCGTCATGGTCAGACAGAACGCGCGAAGGGTGCGTGGTGATCGACGACGCGAGGCGACGCGGTTGAACAGAAAATGCGCGCGAGGCGAGAAACCCTGAGAGGGGGCGTGGGAGAACTCGACGGCGTCGATGGTGGATGTCTCGTTCGACGACGCCGCGAGATGATTGCGCGGAACGATACATTTTTCGTTCGTTCACCTCATCGCGAGCATCGTCTCAAAGTTTCGTTGCTCTTCGAGGACGCATTCGCCCACGCTCGGGCATCGACGCGCACCGTGGGTGACGTTTTACAAACCCTATTCGGGATAAAAGAGTGGAGGACGGAGACTGACAGTGAACTATTTCGTACGACTCACAGGGCACGGCGAGCACGCTGACGAAGAGCGAAGTTCGTGGGGGTGGCCGAAAGCCGTTCAAGCAAAAGGGTACGGGTAACGCGCGCGCGGGTTCTAACCGCACGCCGCTCAAGCCGGGCGGAGGCGTGTCGTTCGGCCCGAAGCCGCGTGACTGGTCGATTAAGATGAACAAGAAGGAGCGCCGCCTGGCGATGGCGACTGCGTTGCAATCGGCGGCGAGTGCCATGATTGTTGTCGATGATATCTCCGGCAACGTCTCCGCTCCGGGTACGAATGCGTTCAACAAGTCGTTGATGGCGTGGGGCGTCGGTGCGGATGAGAAGGCGTACGTCATCACCAAGGATGCGAACGAATCCGTCGCGAAGAGCGCTCGCAACATCGCGCGCGTAGTGCAAACGGATGTTACGCACTTGAACGTGTACGACGTCCTCAACGCGGACAAGGTCATCGTCGAGAAGTCCGCGCTCGCCCAAATCCAAGCCTTTTACGGTGCGGAGGGTGAAGCGTGGGCGTAAAGCGCGCGCAACACACAGTACATTTTAGAAATATACGCTTCTTTGGAACCCCTTTGTAATTGACGGAGGCATTCCCGAATAAGTTGAGTCCTTCGAAACGCGCGTTTCATGCATATTACACATATCCAGGGGAAACTTCCTCGAGCGTGACGTCGATGAGCAAGTCTCGATTTCCTGGGATTCTCGTCCCGTCTGCTAATACGATTCCGCGCTCGCCGAACGCAGCCTCGCTCGGGGCGTACACTCGCCTCACACCTCCTCGTTTCATCGTTCGCACCCCATCCTCGACCGCTTGACAAATCGGCGGAATGAGCTTGCCCTTTTCAAAGGTGAACGCCACCGGTCGCCCGCTCTTCTTCGTGTTCAAGTACTCCGTCCCTGACTCGGCGTCGGTGAACACCAAGTTCACCCCGACGAAATCACCTCTCGATGCACTCTTCCCCCCACCGATTCGCGAGTCACTCGCGCTGATCCCCACCACTCCCGCGCGCGATTCCACGTCGAACGTTTCTCCGGACGCCTCGACGTCGCGCTCGAGCAACGCCTTGATGATCTCCCCGCCCTCCACCGCCCCCAGCGCGGCGACGAGTCCGAGTCCACCGACGATTCCGAACCGTCGAGTCAACATTCTCGACATCGTCGCCACCGGATCGTACAGATTCACGCCCGATCCCGGGAGCGGTTTCTTCTCCGTCGACGCCGCGCGCGCGTCCGGGGCGTCGTCCTCGCTCCCATCGCGTGCGTTCTCTCGTTCAGCGCGCGTCACGCGCGATCGAGCGCGCGTCGATCGACCATCGCATCGTCGTCGTCCATCGCCCGCGCGCTCGATCGCTCGCGCGCGCGCGCTCGATCGCATGCAGCTCGGCGATGCGTCACACCGTGACGTCACGACCGCCGAATCCATCCTCGACCGACCTCGTGCTCGCGCTCGCGTTCGGACGCGACGAAGTGCGGGCTCGGGCGTGGACCGGACATCGCGCGCGCGGTCGTGGGCGTCCATGTGGCCCCTCGAGAGCTCGAAAGCGCGCGCCGAGCGCGAGCTCGAGCTCGAACGCGCGAGGCGCGCGTGCGAGAGCAAGCGCACGGCGTTGGTGCAGTGCGAGCGCGTGAACGCGCGAGGGATGTGCGAGGGACTATCGAGGGATCACGACTTTTGTCGTGCGTCCAGGGTGAAGCCGTGTCACGGCGCCGCGGAGGCGTTCGATAAGTGCGCGAGACGGGCGATGAATTGGAAGGAGGCGACGCCGGCGCCGACGTGCGAGAGCGAGTTGAAGGCGATGCGGAGGTGCTTACGCTCGAGATGGCGGAATGTGAATGTAAAGTGAGGGAATGAGGCAACGCGCATCGCGCGCGAGTGGGGGGGGAGACGCTTAGGTCTACTTTATTCGTGTGAATGACAATCGGTGTATCAAATATCTCCGTAATCGATGACGACGCGCTCGGGGACGCTCGCGTCCAAATCGGTGTATCGAGCCATCCCTTGGATCATTCGCGCGCCACCCTGCGCGGCGACGGGAACCTGGATAAATTGTCCGTCCGCGCCGGGCATCATCATCATACCACCGAACATGCCACCCTTTCTCCGGCCTCTCTTGCTCGCCTTACGGTTCTCCTCATACTTGAGGTATTCCAGGACGTTTCTGTGGAACTGCTCGTCGATCAAACTCTCGCGCTGCTGCTCATAGGCGCTCGCGTGCTTGGTCTTCACGTGCTTCACCAAGAACTCGGGGGCGACGAAGAGCTTGGTGCAGTTGAGCGCGCACCCGTACCTCTGCTCGTCGTGCTTGACGACGCACGATTGCACCCACTCCTCGAGCTTGCGCTCAATCTCCTCAGTGCCGAGCTTCTTCACCTGCGGATCACCCTCGGTAATGCGGCGCTTGACGTTACCGTCGAGTGCGGCGCTCCAGCGTACCCCGTACGGGTTTTCGGCGACCGGTCGGACCGGCTCGGCGGGCTTCGGGTCCCTCTTGGAGAAGGTGGTGGTCATGGTGACCTTCTCCAGGAACGTCACCGGGTGCATCTCGGAGACTCGCTTGTAGTAATCGATCCCGTGCACGCGAATCAGATAGCACAGGCGCTCGTCCAACTTCTCCGCCGTACCCTCCTCGTTCCCGAGCGTCTCGAGCGTGGCGGCGTCCTCCTCAGCGGATGCCTCCGTGTCCATGCCGACGCCCTCATCCGCGTTCAACAGAGGGTTGCCTTCGATGCCCTTCTCCGCGTCGAGAGCGGCGATGAGCTTGCCCGCTTGCTTGAAATCAAAGCCGAGACGCACGGGATGCCAGGCCTCGATCGGTGCCACGGATCGTTTTTTGTGGTGTTGTTCCCCTCCCTCGGCGTTGTCGCCGCCTTCGTTCATATTGACGTCGGCGTCGTCTCCCTCGTCGTGGCCGCCTTCTTCGGCGCCGTACACGTCCAGGCTCCCGCTCTCCCGAGCGGTGAAGAACTCTTGCGCGTGCGCGCGGGAAACGTCGTCTCTCCTCGCCAACGTCTCCACGAGTCGTCTCGGATCATTTCTCGCCCGTTCGTGCTCGTCGTGTCGATGGTCCCGCCAGTACCTCTCGTAGAACGCCTCTTGGTTTTCCTTTTGGTACTCCTCGTACCTTCGCTCCGCCTCCGCGGGTGTGGTGTCGTCTCGGAGATACTTATAGCAGAAATCCCGGAAGCTCAGCGCACCGTCGTCTCGCGGGCCTCGATCGCGTCCTCGTCCCCCTCGTCCGCCGCGTCCGCCGCGATCTCCGCCCCGTCGATCGTCATCCCCGTACGGGTGGTGTCGATCCCCTCTTTCACCGCGGTTCCGTCGTCTCGAGCTTCCACCACCGTCATCGTAATACTGTTCTCGATCGACCTCCATCGCGCGTCGTCGATCGTCTCGCACGCGCGCCTCGCGACGCCGTCCACCGCGCGATCGTCCGCCGACCTTTCCTCCGCCCCGTCGCTCGCGCGTCGACGACGATCACCACCGCGTGCTCGACGCGCGATGCCGTTCGTCCCCGTTCGCGTGCGCGGTCGACGACGACGGACGACGCGACCGACGACGGACGACGCGGTCGACGACGACGACGACGACGACGACGACGCGCGCGACAATCGTCCCGCCGCGCCCGCGCGCGAGGTCGATCGATCGATCGACGCCGAATCGATCGATCGGTCGATCGAGATCGATCGATCGATCGATCGACTGATCGCGATCGATCGATCGACGCGCGATGTCGATCGATCGCGCGAACGGGCGACGGGGGACGGCGCGCGAGCATCGGGTCGGGACGTCGGGACCGAGCGATTGAGGGTTTAGGAAAAGGAAACACGCCGAGTCGACATCGTCGTCGTCGTCGTCGTCTCGTGAGACGAGCGAGGGGCGACGCGCGTGAGTGATCGACGGGTGAGAACGGTCGAGATGTCCGTCGTCGTTCGCGCGGTCGCCGCGCGCGCGCTCGCGAGGACGGTGCCGTGGTCGACGCGGATCGATGGACGACGAGCATCGATCGCGGGCTGGGGGGTCCAGCGTCGAGCGATCGCGCGCACGAGCGTCGCGTCCGCGGCGTACGGGATGGATGCGCGCGGTGATTTCCCGAGCATGGAGTTCCGATGCTTCGTGAAGGATTCGGCGAACCGGGAGATCAGCGCCTGGCACGGGATCCCGCTGCGAAACGCGGATGGGACGTACAACTTTTTGTGCGAAATCCCAAAGGAGACCAAGGCGAAGATGGAGGTCGCCACGGACGAGACGCTGACGCCGATCAAGCAGGACACGAAGAAGGGTAAGCTGCGCGATTACCCGTACAACATCAACTGGAACTACGGCATGCTCCCGCAGACTTGGGAGGATCCCAAGCACGAGCACCCGGAGATGAAGGTGTCGGGCGATAACGATCCCGTCGACGTCGTGGAGATCGGTTCCGCGGCGTTGGCCATGGGATCGGTGACGAGCGTGAAGCCTATCGGTGTGTACGCCATGATCGACGACGGTGAGCTCGATTGGAAGGTCATCGCCATCAGCGTCCACGACCCAAAGGCGGCGGAGATCAACGACGTCGCCGACGTGGAGAAGCACTTCCCTGGTGAGCTCGAGAAGATTCGCGTTTGGTTCCGCGATTACAAGACACCGGATGGAAAACCACAAAATAAGTTTGGCTTGGATGACAAGTGCATGGACCGCGCGTACGCTCTGGAAGTTATCGAAGAGACGCATGGTTTCTACAACGATTTGGTTTCTGGCAAGCGCGCCAACGACGAGGGACTCGCGCTCGCGTAATTCTTTAGGACTATTTGAAATCCCCACGCGATGAAACAACTCTCGACGCGATGAGACATCGCCCGATCGCTCGCTGACGAACGCGGATGTGACTTTAGGCGAAAGACTCGACGCAGCAAAGAAATGCGCAGTTCCGTCAAGCCTGTACGTGAACATGAAATGAACGTGTTTGTCTACCTAGTTAAAAGCGTGCTACGTTTCTACATTGGATGCGTTTCATATATCCACCACCACTTACTAAGTGCTTCTATTACTTCCATGATAAATGCACGTTGCTGTCAAATCCTTCCATGAAGAGTGCGAGCTGTATCGTGAACGTGTGCAAGTACACGCCGCAACGGCCAGCATCCACAGCAACCGTGGACGTCTCGGTCTCTCAGCTCACGCGTTGGCCGATTTGTGCGTCGTCTTTCTCCACTTTAGCCGTTGTCGGCTCAAACACTGTCTACACGTCTTTTTGTCCGTATCGAAGTGCAAGTCTATACGAAGATTTCGTCGACAACCGCGACAGTGCAACATGGCGCGCGCGCTACTTCCGTCGGCTGACTCCCCTCGTACTTCAGCCGGTAGCGTGATCGGAAACGATGAGAAATCAAAGTCAGGATCGAGCATGGTTCCCATTCTCTCTCTCCTCTTCTTCTCTTCGGCCACGTCCACCGCGCACGCCGCCTCGATGGCTCGTCTCTTCGCCGCGCGCTGCGTCTTCGGCGTCGTCTCGCTCGCGTCCGTGCGCGCTTTCCCACTATCGTACGCGGTCAGGATCGATCCACTCTCCTCCATCTCTAACGCGTGCGCTCGCGTCGCGCACGACGGTGCCTCTCTCGAGTCCTCCGCCGCGACGCATTCGCTCGCGGATGTCCTCGCGCGCGCGCGCACATCGAGCCCATTCGTGGACGTCGCGCCCATTCGATCGCGTGCGCACGCGCGCGCGCTCCACGCGCGCCACGACGGGCGACGCGACGCGTCCGGGCGACGCCACGGGTCCCACGTCGATCGACCGAATCGCCACGTCGGGACCGCCACGGGGCGGTGCGTCGGTCGATCACGGCGTCGGTGCGTCGGTCACGGTCGATCGCTCGGTCGATCACGGTGTCGGTCACGGTCGATGTGTCGGTCGATGTGTCGGTCGATGTGTCGGTCGATGTGTCGGTCGATCGGTATCGATCGGTGTCCATCGGTATCGATCGGTATCGATCGGTATCGATCGGTATCGATCGGTATCCATCGGTATCGATCGGTGTCCATCGGTATCCATCGGTATCGATCGGTATC